GTGTGACCCCAATTGCGCCATACTTGGCGACATCACAGGCCTTGATTTTTCAGTTAACAAAAGGTATTTTTGAACCGCTCTTTGTCTGGACCATCACCTATGACCTGATTGCTTTTTTGAGACCCTACAAGGAGCATGTAGCTCCCGACAACATAGATCTTAGGACCATTTGGGGACCATACTCCTCCAAGGTGACAGTTCTAGGAGGGATTCTAAGAGGCACTGCTACCCCCGGCCCCAGATAAGTAGAAGAACAACAAACCAAATGTTGAATGGCTGGGTCATCTCTAAGAACCTTCAAGCATGCAGTGTGTAGACAGTGTTCCCCAACCAATACATAAACCCCATTATTCCTTGTGGATCTAAAGGGGAAAGAAAGCTTTTCTACTGTTTTTTTTTCCCTTTTGAGAGCTGTGCCTTTTTTATATATCATTGGTCAATATATTTTCTGAAATATCCTCAGTGCCAGAGCACTGGTTCCCTCTCCAGAGTGGAAAATGATGCCCAAAAGATTATCAACTGTTTCAGGATCTCCAATCTAAACCACACTGAACCTACAAAACCAAAGCAGATTCTATTGGGAACTGGGGGCTTTCTATACCTACGTATTTATTTTAGATTACGGTCATGACATTCCACTCTTCTACTCAGAGCTCACCTTGGGGAAAGTCAGGGTACACCTTGGACAGGCCACTAATCCATAGCTAATCCCTGGACATGGAAACTGGGTATAATGAGATTAAGCGTAACAATTATGTTTTACAACATACACAGACTAAAATTGTTACAAATGTTCATAGAGGTTGTATGAATACAGGGATGTAGCATTAAACCATTTTTATTATGTTTATCGTTACTAGTAATTAAAAATCTCAGTCTTGATTGGTAAATGTATAAAAAAACAATAGCCCCGTGGGTTTAAACAAAACAAGGATCCCATATAACACTGCCACCAACCTCAACTCACACCCACATCTGAATTAAAGGGCCAGAGGGCTTTTAATCACATTCCCTCACTCCCCAGCAAATTACTGCTTGCTGATTGCAATCGATAAAGCAATAGAAGTAGGGGGAGTCATGCAGGACGAATGCCCATCAGAGACTGAATGCAGGAGGACACGGCAGGAAAGCAGGCAACGCTGTGTAATGCATGAACTCTCATGCTGTTTCACTCACTCCGGCACTGTTTTGAATATTTGTACCCTGGGGCAAAACCTAACCCAAACCGAATAGCACATGCTGACAGGTATGCAGAATAAAATAGAACAAGAGGTGGAGAAATGGAAAAATTAGAAAGCATTAATTCAACTGTAGACGGGGTGAAGATAAGAGGGAAAAGAGAATCAGATGACACCGTATTAGATGAAAGTGAAGAAATAGAAAAGTAATATACAGCAGAGATACAGAACTTTAGTTTATGTGTCATTCTTTGACAAAATGTTCAGCTTGGGATCATTTATCGTAATCTCTCATTTCACTGACTGTGTTTTCTGCTCATTCTCCACAGCCTTTACTCCATTTGTCTCTTAGAAAAAAAATCTATCTGTGGAGGCTTCATCATTTCTCATAAATAGGTTCTGCTCTGTGTCTCATAATTCATAGCTTTAAAATAATGTCATGCACAGAGAGAGAGAGAGAGAGAGAGACACTAGCTTTTATAAATAGTTGTCAATTGCCCCACTTCCACATTTCATTAATAAGTAAAACATACATTGATTAATTAAAAACTAAAAAAAAATCATCCCCCTTTATCCGAACCAGTCATACACTGCACTGTTTGCACAACTGATTGCCTTTAATCTGAGATGACTCTCTAGTCTATATCCCACCCCCCACGTGCTCTCTCTCTCTCTCTCTCTCTCTCTCTCTCTCTCTCTCTCTCTCTCTTTCATTCACAGATAAATGTTCATTCACCTTTTGCAGGCCACAGTGATTTTCCTGACACTATACCAAACACTGAAGTCCCAGTGGGATGCAAGTGTGTGTCTGTGTTTGACAGTGCAAGAGTCACTCTGTGTTTAATCGTCTGTGCAAAATGAGATCTGACCGTAAGTCAATTGCAGTCTGTGTGAGCGAGCCTTTCATCAGTCTCAAAGTTGTCGATTGCATCCTCTAATCATAACTAAAATAGAAGCGCGAACGGCTTTGTCCTATACGTAGCTCCAGATTTAAAGCTTACTGTACAATCACTCACCAGCCACTTTTCGTGAACACCTTGCTAGTACCTCCTTTGACCTTCAGAATCAATAGATTCAACAAGGTACTGGAAACATGCTTGATATGAATCTCCCGTTCCACCACATCCCAAAGGTGCTCTATCAGATGGAGATCTGCTGACTGTGCGTGCATTACGGTCATAAAGAGAGCAAAAATACTCAAGTAGGCTGATGGTCATGTGGTACTAATTGATCCAAAGAGTGCCAAGGAAATATCCCCCACACCGTTACACCTCCTCCACCACCAGCCTGAAATGTTGATACAAGGTGGGATGCCTTTGGACAAGGTTGTAGACCATACCATCCAAATGACGCAACGGACATTGAGAACCATCAGACCAGGTGACGTTTATCCAATCTTCCATTGTTGTTTTCCGGAGGAGACTAATTAATGCCTCAGTTTCTTGTTCTTATCTGACAGGAGTGTTGCCCGCTGTGGTATTCTGGAGCCATTGGTTCGACGTGTTGGTCTTGTGGTTCTTGAGCCCGATCTCAAGACCAATTTTCTATGTTCTCGGTCTAGTCACAGAACCAATGATTGCGTCCCCTGTCTTGTCATGGCCTTTCTCTGCAAAGGTGTTGTGGTGATTTTATTCCAAGAACAATGAGCAAGCCGACATCGCTCTCATCAAATAAAATAAAAAATGTTATAGAGTATTTTTTCATGCCTCCCTTCAAATATACCAAAAACAAGCAACAGCATATGGTTATTTATTTTCTCACAGACAACACAAGCACTCTGTAAATTTAGTAATGCATTACTAGAGATTCAGAAAACAATTAAAAAATATCTGGAAGAACGTTTTCGCGAGAGGTAAGAATATTTCTGTAATTTCAATGTGATGAAAGCATTCAAATAATGTAAAGAACGTTATTTTTGCGGTAGGCATGCAAGTTAATTTGGACCTTGTTTTATTTATTATTTTTTTATACTAACATCACCTCTCTGAAACGTGTAACTTGAGAACCTTGTTTAACTGTAGGATGAAACCAGCGTGCTAATAAGTAATTTAACTTTAAATTTAAAAAATTTTCCTGGCACATACAAAGTTCTCATAAAATGGTCATAGGTAAGAGCTTCTGATAATATTATTTATAACTGAGAGATTGTTGCTTAATAGAAAACAAATACAGAAATGAGAACTTGCAAAAATTACAGTTTGTTGTTTGCAATAAAAGAAAAGGCTTAGCATGCCCTGGTCTCGGTAGTCTCTGATCTCAGTTGGGTCTTGATACTCTCTGTTCTCGGTCAAGGTGGTCTTGACTACAAGACTAATGTTCAGAGATGTTCTTCTGCAGACCTCGGTTGGAACGAGTGGTTATTTGAGTTACTTTTACCTTTCCATCAAATCGAACCAGTTTCTGATTATTAGGATAAGACAAGAAAATGCACTCTAAAAATAATAAAGTATATTTGGTTTTTAAGGCAGATTATTCCTTGCATGTACATTGTTATTGATCAGTTGGTCTGTTTTCTTTCTTTTGACAGTACACGATCCGCAAGTTCACGCGAGTTGCAAAACATCACAGTCTCCCTAGATGGTAGTGACTCGATGAAAACGCTTTACAGCAACACACCATATCACAGATAAAGTATGCGTGATCCTTTTTTACGCGGCCATCTGACAGTATTTGACTATTGGGCTGGTGGATGCGGCATTAAAGCACATATTTCCTACAAGAGGTACGTTACATGATCATGGCTACGAAACTCATTTCATCAGCCTGTCGATAATAACGATTCACATTTATCAGACACAGTGAACTCCAAAAGTAATACAAACACTATTATTAACTCGTTATTAACTATTATTATTCGTCTCATGTTTGTTGTGTTTACATGCATTTTTAACTTGCAAGATAGTTAAACATACACTATTTGCAGTTTAAAACCAACATTTAATACTTTTTAATCCGTGACGTTTTGCAAATCGTGCAATTTGCAGATCGTTTACTGACACAGATAAAACATTTTGGTTTGGGATTTTAACATACTAACATACTTTTTTTTGACAGATTGTGGACGTTCTAAGCTTTGCTGACCAAGAACTATTTTGTTTGCAAATGCTCAAACTCACAACTATTTACTCAAGGGTTTTAAAGGGAGGTTCCCAGCAAGCTTGTGGGAAATCCTGACAGGAATAACAGTAAGATGTCAGATCAATGAGACGGAATGCTTTACCCCATCATATTAGTGTCACATCTTCATTTTAAGCTGAACACAATGCCTGATATTTCTCTGTGGGAGACATGAATGATCATTTATTGTGACAGGGAAATATCTTGCTCGCATTTTCTTTTCTAGGGTTCACAGAACATAGAATTGGACAAGCATCTTTCAGGGCTCCAACGCAAATGCTTTTTCAATTCAGCTTAACTGCAGGAAAGATAGGATTGTGAGAATGAAAGAACTTGTTCACCTTAACCAGATATGATGAAACCTTGGTAAACAAAGAACAGGCACCAAATAATAAATAGATAAAACCCAAGGAGATCGGGACATGTGATGCACTGTTAAGGATGCTGAGAAAACAATTGGGATAAATTTTGCAGATATGAAACTCAACTCTTTCACATGTTATCAGATCCCCAACCGTGAATATTTATCTGTATACGATACAGTGCAAAGGTAGGCAGGTGTAAAATTTTTTTGTAAACAAAAAATGCTTTCAGAAATGGAAGTAAATGAACGTAATGGAATAGTTATCAAAGCAATATGTCTCCCAGTGACCCTCTGATCTCTAGTCAATCCACTAGGCCATGGCTGCTCCATAAAGGGTAGGCCTCCCTGTCAGGGAATTGAACCCTGGCCTTCCGCGTGACAGCCGCATATACTGTCCACTATACTAACAATGACAAAAGATAAACAAACACACACGGAAGTCTGACAACAGTCACTTGGCGAAGGACGATGTCAGGAAAGGAAGCTAAAGCTTAAAAAATCCTGATCTTAACTCACAATGTTTGGGGTAAGAATGCAATCGATGAATCTAAAAATTCCATATGTAAATACTGTATTATTTTGGTCAATCCTTAAATCTACACAATGTTAATGTAAAAATGATAAGCAAACAATGAAAAAATAAAATAAATATTATGCAAAATAATTTGTACACAAATCTGAAACTTTACCTTGCGAGTGAGGCGATGTGTTCACGAATCACAAACATGAAACCAAAATAAAGTTTATAAAGTGGGAAAGTGCAGTTCTGTAGTGCAAGCTAGAGAGGAAACCCCCTGTGAAACAGTGTTTTACCTTTAGTTTCCACTTTATAAACGTTTATAATGTTTTGCTTTATTTAAAATGGATTTAAAGCATTTTTGTTTCTCCCAACTGCTGTAATCTACAGGCTATGAGTACAGCACATAAATGGCAGCAGGAAAATGTCAGCTGTTGACTGCAGCGGTCCCGGCACTTTCCTTGGCCCTATCCCCTCCTGCAATGTTTTTCCTGTATTATGTCTATATGTGCTTGGTTGCAATGGCTTTTTAACCTGCTCCACACTGCCCTCTGATGAACAGTGCGGAATAGCCTCTTTTTGAGCTACCTTACCCAATGTATACCCATTTCTGATTCTTTCTTGAATCTGACCTCTCAACATTGGCCTGTCCTCACCTTGTCTATGTTTTCGTAATATGAAGCATTCGTATCTCGAAGTACCACTGTATTGATGCTCCCTGCCTGAAGATGGCATTCAGATGCTCAACGCACCACACAAAGAAACAGGAAAAAGGAGGAAGTCAACAAGGAAGAAATCAAAGAACGCCAAAAAAATCCTGGATGTTGAGCAGTTTATACTGTTGGTGGTTGACCAAAATGAGTCGAAGTCGCAATGAAAATGTGGGACGGGTGCCACCAAAAGAGCCAGAGTTCATTGGTTGTTCTCCTTGCAAAAAAAATAAAATCCAATACGGCAGTCTGAAACTCGTTTTTTGGTTGGCACCACTCATCTGATATGAGATGTCCCATGGTTTTCGACAGAAATGTCACACCTAAAATTTGGCCTTAGAGCCCTCTATACTCTTGTTCAAAATGAGATCCGCACAAATCTTCCAATGGATTCTCAGCAGGGTGCTCTTCATCTGTATCGAGCAAATATTGTTCCAGTGGCACTCCCTAAACAGACGCTCACCGTACCAAGTGGGGAACAGGGACGAAGGAGAGCAGGAAGAAGACAACAGAGAAGGAATCCAAGGACATATAGAAAAAATAATGGATGTCAGGCATTTCATACGGTTGGTGGCTGTTTGCGAGAGGATTTTTAGTGCACTTTTGTAGACTTACGTCATCAAAAAAGCCAGTGTTTGTTGGTCGTTCTCCTTGGGAAAAACATTCATTAGCATCACTTGTTCGATCCGATGTGTGATGTCCCGTTGGCGCCCATGCTTTTATATCGAGTTGTATCGTCACACAACACTTTTAAACAGTTCTGTGGGTGGAGTTGCATTATATTAGTGACCAGTTTAGTGAGAGATGACAATGGGAGACAAAAAAAAAGATTTACAAAGGATCTTAAATTTGTCAACCTACATGCTCAATGAGACAAATTCTGAGAAGTGTCCAAACTTTGTCAAGTGCTGTGTCTGCACATGCACTTTTCTCCTGAGACTTCACAACTGTACAAATATTGATCCTTGCATGGTACATTTTTTAGCTCCCTTTCAAGAATGCTGACTAACTCAGCTTAGACTCGCCATCACTTCAAATTAAACTTGAGGAAATGAGCGAAGATGAAATGAACCTGTTTCGTTCACAGGCAAAATTACCCATCAGGTCATCGTCAGGAAGACAGAGAGAAATTCAGCAACGTCTGTCATGAACAGCAAGGTCTTCAATTTCATTGGTGCTGAGTCTAAATGAAATATTAAACTTTGCATATATACAGGGCATTAGCAGGGGAGCTCTGCTCTTTTCAATCAGAGCCGGAGCAGAACATGAGGAAATCCCATCCACAGTGAACCACACAAACTTCCAACACAGCACTGATACTGAAACTCATAAAGGATGTGCATTTTAAGTCCTCAAACATGGATAATGTGATACTCTAAAGAGATATAGATGACGTGACACCACCTACTGCCATCGGGCTAATTCTGGCAGTCACCTGACTTCCTGTTGAGGATGGAACTGTCAGGGTTTTAGAGCTCCACCTCCACCACGCACACATCATGTTATATACTACTTATTGTGAACTTAAATACAAGGATTTTTGGAGCAACTTTTATGAATTTGATAATTGAATTTGATAAGTTTGCTTTGTTCAGCGTGCGTAGCTGTCAATCACAAGGCCCCGCCTACTTTATTAGGCAAAAATTGAGCCACATGAACTCAAACTTACAAAAAAAAAACTATGTACTTTGTTTATTGTGTGGAAAAAACTTTGAAGAACTTTATTGTATAAATAATGTAATTTCTGAGGAAATAATTTTTAAACTTTGCCTTTTTCCCTTAGACTTGAATTAGCCGGAAATCATTCTGCAGCCAGCAGCATTTGAGCAACCGCAGCGATTGGCTTCATTCTCCATACATGAAAGTGTCATACACACTCATTGTGGTTTATTTTATTTTTGTACTAATTAAGGCTTGTTATATATACGTTTGTGTTTTTTTGTTTTATTAAAGTGTTAATGGTTTTTCGGAATGACAGACCGTGGTCAATGGGCTTAGGGAGCTATGCATGTCCTGGAAACGCGCGCCGTGCCGTCTCATACTTCTGCTGTCCCTACTTAATTTAATGGGAATTAACTTGTGTTTATTATAAATAATATCATTATAATAGTAACACTCTGTATTATATAGAGCAATCTGAGTCTGTAAATCTTTGGTATTTATATATTATTATCATTTATTACTTGCACAGGTGCTGTGCGTGTGTTTAGGTGATTCTTGTTCGATATTGTTTCATTTGTATATTTAGAGCGTACAAGTGTGGTTTTAGTTATAGTTTCACTGTTTTAGAGGATTTGGCACGAAATGTGTTGGGCCACATTAAAACATGCGCCACTTTAGGGGCTTTCATTGCCTTCCATTTGTTTCATGTGTATTACACTTTGTATTATAAAGTGTTTTATTAGACCGTTAGACTGATTATATCCTCATATTTAAAGTTTTAAATGTATATTATCCTAGTTTTTCTAGTGTAACTTTTATTGTATTTTTGTATTATATTTTTATGTATTGTGTTATATGGTGTATGTATTTTTAGTATTGATATGTATATTTCTGCTGGCTTATCAAAAACTTCTTCGGAACATACCATGAACTGTGCAAACGTATTTTTACCATTGACCTATAACGTCCATTGAAAATAAATGGGATAAGGAAACGAGGAAATCTTTAAGATGAAACAACTTACATTTTCGCTCCCAGGCAACGAAACTATTTACCCTAGCAACCACATTTTCTAAACTCTGCCTTGGCTTTGGTAAATAAGAGACATGGGGGTTGGTTTATGTAACTTATAGTGATAAAGGTATCATTATATTATGTCCCTGACACTTCCAAAGCAACCATTGCCAAAATTTAGCAGAACCATAGCTCAGAAAATTCATCATTTTAGACAAAGGTGTTGATTTATATCACTCATGGTGACATAATGTACATTGTATTCTGTCACAGAGCCCTCCATAGCAACCAGACTACCATGGAAAACTATTTTGCATATAAATATCTCAGTTACCGTATTTTTTGCCGTATAAGACGCACCCAATTTTAAATGAGGAAGATCTAGAAAAAAAAAGATTCTGAACCAAATACTGTTGTAAAATATTTTAGATCAACTGTGTAAAAGTTAACAGTAGTTTAAGAACAATTATATGCCAAACATGAAACATGAACAGTCAGAAAAGTCAGTAAACAGTAAAAGTAACAAAAAAAGGCTGTAATGTTTTTATTCGAACCCCAATAATTCCTCTTCGTCACTGCTATCAGAAATGAGGAAGGACAGTCACCCAGTCATTGTCATCACTTTCTTCCTCACTGGTGTAAAATAAGATGTTATCTTCTGTTCCATCCAAGGCATTACTAATACCACACTTCTTAAATGATTTTATAACAATGTCCTCCTTCACAGAGTCCTACACGTTATGGTAGGATCAGCAGAGATGCGCTTCAGCGCGCACCACCGGGTAAACAAATATGGCCGCGGCTCCGGAGTGTGATGGGAATTTTCCTATATAATACTACCATCTAGTGGTCATTTAGAGAAATGTAATTTGAGAAACTTTTAAGAGCACACGTCATACTTCAGTCCCGCCCCTTGAGGCTCGAGGTTCTTCTTCCAATGTGGATAACACGTGTGTAGGAAATGCGTTGAGACTGCTAAATCTTTACAATAAATAGCTGCATTTGCTGTGTTCTCTCTCAAACGGTGTTTATTATCAATTGAGAAGGTCCATTTTTACCATAACAGGAGCTAGGCCGAAGCCGCGGCCTCTCTTACGCCTCTCCTACGGCCGTGACCACCCTCCGCTCCGCGGCACTCAGCATTCGCCGTATAAGACGCACCAACTTTTCCCTTTCAGTTTTGGGGAAGAAAAAGTGCGTCTGATACAGCGAAAAATACGGTAATGAAAATCATAGAGGCATAGGGATCGGATTTTGTTACTCATAGTAATTCTACTCTTTTTCTTTAATTCCCAGTTTAAAAAAAACTAAAGTCAGTTAATGCTCTTTGCTACACCCACTTGAAACTGTAGCCAATGACTTTTCAGGCATTTGTCTGAAGTCTGTACAACAGAAATGACGGGTGGGGTTTACAGTTGGATGAAGTCATTTATTGTCAAACAACTGTGTGACCCTCAAAATTCCCCCTTTTACCATCAATGACAGCCTGAAGTCTCTTGAGGTAGTTGTC